GCTTCCTCGTCTATAAAATGGGGATAATGATAGCACTTGTCGTGGACCTGGCTCCAAGTGTGATGTGAGGACCAGATGGGAGATAAATATGAGAGAGCCTGGAAGAAGTCAGAGGGCTTTTTAAGATGTCCCTGGAGAAATATTTCACAGTCTTAGTTGTTGGTAGATTAATTCCACCTCGAGGTGGTGCTGGTGAAGGGCAGAAGTTTAGAAGTCCTCAGATCATAAGCACTGCAACTCCTAGACCCTAAGTTTTAAAATACAACTATTATGCTGATAGCTGACCTTTTTTTTTAAAAAAAAAAAAGTATTGTACTCCAGGCACTAGTATGAAAATGCTTTTCTTGTAGTGTTCCATAAGATGTCCACAACCTTTGAGACGGATTATACCATTGCCACTTTATAAATAAGGATTTTAAGCATCAGAGAGGTGCTATGATTTGTCCATGGTCACAGTTATTCATCGACAGAGCCAAGACTCAAGCCCTGACTCCAAGTCCAAGACTCCTTCTCTTTCACTGAATTGCTTAGGACTTCCTGACGCAGGGAGATTGGGACCCTTAAGAGGATCCTACCACCCAAGGGACAGTGTCTGACCAACACTGAAGTCCGCCCTCTGTCTCTTTCCTTTGCTCCACAGGTTCTCAAGTTGCTCCTCGTGGCCTGGGATCGCCGTCTCATCTTTGCCATCGGTACCTCCAGCACCACGGGCGAGTCTGATACGGTCATCTGGAATGAGGTGCACCACAAGACAGAGTTTGGCTCTAATCTCACCGGCCATGGCTACCCAGATGCCAATTACCTGGATAACGTGCTGGCCGAACTGGCTGCCCAGGGCATCTCTGAGGACAGCACTGCCCAGGAGAAAGACTGAGGCTGGAGAGGCGTTGGGGTGGGAGGGGCTGTGGGACCACAGGGCAGGAACAGGGAGAGTCAAGGTGGAAGTTGGTGCCATGCCCTCCCTACTCCCTCATCCTCCCTCACCCTGTCTCTAGACTGGGAGGGGAGGCAGATTGCATAAGGTGACATAATTCATAAACCTCATCCGACAAAAGGGGACATGGGGTGATGGCCATCCTGGGTCTGTTCCTGTTGAGTTTTCGGCGCTGGGTAGGCAAGAATCCCCACCCCCTCCATCCCTCAAGTGGGGGGCACGGTCAGCACACTCGGGTGTGGACAGTGCGTGGCACTGCACACCCTGCCTTGTGAAGCTGAGGTTTCTGGCCTCAGCTGGCTTCTAGCTGCTTCCACTCTGCTTTGAGAGCGGAGTTTCCACTTTTCTCTCCTCCACTGAGGCAGAGAGCTCTCACTGTGCAAGGTGGGTGGGGGGCACCAAGGGGTGGACCGCTAAACTGCTGTGACATCAGATCCTGGATGCCTTGGTGTGGGGCGAGCAAGTGCTTCTTGCTGACAGGGTCAGAGAGGCAGACGCCTCTGGGAGCGGGTTCAGCTCTCTCCATCGTCCTCTGGGCTTCTCTGGGCCCTCTCTTCCCCCTCACATCTGTGACCTGTCCAAAGAGGCATCTGGTTCTTTTGCATGGATGGATGGACTCTGGGATTCTTCTCTGGGACGGCATCCTGTGATGCTGTTTCCAGCCCCTCTCTGATCAAACCAGAGCCTGCGTCCCACTGGGCATCTGCACTGTCCTCAGGGAGAGGAGCCCACAGCCTTCTTCCCAACTCATCCCAGACCAGCTCAAAGATTCCACGAGTTTCATGGATTCACTGTGAGTGGGGCCCATGCTGGGCCCTGTGCCATCTGTGTATGAGCCTATGTGTGTGTGGGTGTGTGCGTGTCATGGGCCACGTTGGTGGACAGTCCATCCCATCATGACCCTGAAATCTATTTTGCAAGATGCCAAACCCCAGTTCTGAGGGATGAAACTGCCAGGGTGTGGTCCCTGGACTTTCCTCTTTTTGCCAACCCATCTCATGATCAACGTGGAACCTGATGGAAGTAGAATTGTGCTTAGGGGATGTGTGGAGGTGAGACCTGGACCCACACCTTTTTCTATTTCTGTTCAAGATGGAATCAGAGCCAACCTCTGTCCAATCTTGTTTTCATGAGGGTTTCAATCTGTACCCATGCAAATTTGCTAGGTAAGCCCAGAGATGGTGCTGGGCCCCTCATCTGTCCCACAGAAGGACCTCCCACAAGGTGAAAGCCTCTAGTTCATTCCTAACAGGGTTGGGACCACATTATGTTCTGGTCCGAAGTGCATCCGGGTTGTATCCCAAGACCCTGTCTATCTCCCCTCAACATCCTCTTGCCTTTGGCTCCAATAATGGATTGAGGATCAGGGAGAACAGGGGTTCTCAAGAAGGGAAACCCAATTCTCCTTTTTGAAAGTGGGTTCTTTGAACTATGTGTTTGGGGGAAGTTCCTCTGGATACTAATTTGAATTTATATACCTCATGTTTTGGGGGTTTGACGTATATATATATATATATATATGCATATATATTTCATAAAATTTGGAAGATTTTTGATGCTGGAAAAAAAAATGAAACAAAAGAACCTTCCACAGTGGTACTTAAGTTAGAACTGGAGGCCAAGGTTTCATAACAGCAGCTCCACAGCTGCTTGCTGTTAGCCCTGCAGCCACTTTGACATAAGTGTGTCTAGTGGATTCACCTGTCACCAGTTCCTTGGGACTTGCTGGTGCTGAGTCTTTCTTTACTCCCATTTGGCTACAGGGACAATAATTGGCCACATCAGAGGGAGCTCTGAGAGGAGGAATTATTCCTGCCACCCTTAATCCAGTCTCTCCCAGCAGTGGGAAGCTATTTTGCAGATGAAAAGACTGGTCCTGAGTTCACTGCCCCTTGGGCCCTACTACAGTCAGGAAGGAAACATTAGAACTAAATGACAGAGATGTCCCTGCAGAGTGTAATGTCACACTGCCAAGTTATCACATGCCAGAGATCATCCTTTGGGCTTCTCTGGGCCCTCTCTTCCCCCTCACACCTGTGACCTGTCCAAAGAGGCATCGGGTTCTTTCGCATGGATGGATGGACTCTGGAATTCTTCTCTGGGGTATCGTCCTGTGGTGCTGTTTCCAGCCCCTGTAAGCGTCATACCATTGCCCTTGTCAAGTATCTTCTGGGCTTCTAGGCCACAGGGATGAGGAACAAGACCGAGGACCTGTGTGTAGGAAAATTCAGGAAGCTCGAGTGGAGAAGAAATGAAGACCTGCTCAGACAACTGGAAATGGGCAGTGGGGCGACACTTCATCAGGCAGAAGGAAAAGGACTGAAGATGATATATAAGGGAGTCAGGAGGCAGTGGCAATACCACTTGGAGAGGGAGTCTTCATGCCTTCAAGTCCCCCACCCCCACCCCACCCCAGGTCTTCGATGTGTTTGTGCCCCATTTCTCGTCCTCTCTGAGGAAGCTCAGTAGGGGCTACCTCACCCTCAAACTGCTCTTCTTGTTGAGCTTTCTGGGCAGAAAGGATCTTAGATTTCCTTTCTAACACTGTGCTAGGCAAGGCAGTGGGGGGTGGGCATTCCCTTGCCCCTTATCTTGTGCCAACATGGAAAGACAGAGTCTTGGTTTCAGTGAGAAGCCTGCCAGCAGAGCCCCGTGTGCCCACTACTGTGAAGCAGGGTGTTTCCCACTAGAATCCCTACTGTGCTCCCTGGGCCCAAGCAGGGGCTCTCACGCTCTTCTCTTCATGGGCTTAGCACCAGCCCCAGAGTCTCCAGGGCTGACCAACGGGATCAGAGACAAACCTTCTCAGATGCTCATCCTTTAAAAGGTTATGTGGTGTGTACATGGTTGCGTGTGCCTTTGTGTTTTCATTCCCTTCCCCTTTTTGTAAAAAAACTGAACATCTCTGTGGTTTTATACTTGGTCAAAAGTGCTCGTCCTGGTATTGCACTATTGTGTGCATGAGAGGACTGGGGGAAGGCCTATGTGGTGCAAGAAAGGCCCCCGGCCCCCTTTCCTTGTCTGTGATCACTGGCATTTGAGTGGGGGGTTCTGGGAGAGACAGGTGAATGTCCAAATGTAATTGTTGTGTTTGTAAACTGCTGTGTTTTGAAGTTCTTTGGTATTACTCTGAGAGGACATCGCCACCTGGTGCTCATGAGGTGTATGTGCAGAAGAATAAATGGCAAATGAACAACCACAAACAGTTGTTACTGGGAACCTTCTGCTTTTTGCCGACTAGTGCACCTGGGAGGCATCTGGGTCACTTCCTCAGTCTGTAACCAACCACAAACCCTTCCACAAGATGAGGGGAAAGTCTCTTTTCTCTAATTTTCTTTGTCCACTTCTTTTCTACCCACACATTTGACCTGACTTGACTCCTTGCTCCCCCAGAGAAACAGACCACATGGCAAGGGAAATGGGAAGGTGAACTTGTGGGAGAAAGGTCATCCTTGAAATCATGAATGTGGACTTCTTAAATGTCCCTCCACCTGACTACAATACAGTGTGTGTTTTAATCATTTCTAGACTGCCGTTTTTCAAATAAATGTGTACTATTAATCATTCCACTGTTGGTAAGAACACAAAAATAAAATGCAAATGCAGAACCACCAATGTCACCAAAATCTGTCTCCATCTCTGATAGTCCATGGGGTGTGGTGTTCTTGGAAGTCAGGACTGGTCTTTCTCCAGACTTCAGACTCAGATCATCTGTTAGGCAGCTAAAACACAGCAGAGCCTGTGGGTGTGAGCCCTGCACCCAGAATCTGACTTTGTAAAGCGATTTGATGGATGTGAACAGCACAATCCCACGTTCTGATTTCATATGGATGAACAGTGTTGGACAGTGTTCCTTAGTGCCTATTTAAATGCACATCTCTGTGTAGTTTTGTTCATAGAAATATAAGTTTGTAAAGAACTTTGATTTCAATGGGCAGTTAATGCATTTAAAGTCTGGCAACCTTTGGCTGTACTTTGCCATTCTGATGGTTAATTGTTAAAGATTTCATAAAGTCAATATTTTCAGGAAAGAAGTTAGGTTAGCTGAAACATACAAACACCCAGGTATTTAGAAACATTTTAATGCTTAAGGGGCAGGGTAAAGGGAAGAGGTTACAGAGATTGGTGTCCTTGAATGGACAGTCAGGTAAGAGGGCTCAAAATCTGTTCTCTATCTCAGTTGGAAACGAATTGAGTTTTCTTACTCCCACTTTCCCACAGTCTGAGACAACATGCTCTTCAGAAAAAAAGCCTGCTGTCAGCTCAAACCCTTCATTGTGAACATCAACAAGGAGAGAACAAAGTATCCTTCATAGAAGATAACTCACTGGCAACATCTGATATGGCAAATGTATGTGTAATTTTTTTTTTTTAATGTGGAGGAGCATTGATGTTGTGGAGGTGACTGCAATTAGACAATACTGGCGTTCAAGTTGAGCAAAGCCCCACACACTTCCAGGTGGCAGTCATGCATCCTGCTAGATGCCCCAGGAAACTCAGTCTGAAGCTGCTCTAAATGTCACAAGTGGCTCTGGATGCCTTTTTCAGTTCATGTAAAGACAAAGATTGGATCACCTCTGCCCCTTTTCTACCAGGTAAAGCAGTTGGTGCTTTCTACAGTGTTTTGGTTAGGGAGGAAATGATACTTGGAGTGGATTCTCGCTTACTGTTGGAATGTGGTGTGTCTGTGCACATGAGCCCCTGCACCCAGGCTTGTGATGGGAAGACAGGAAGGGTACAGGCCATCCACAGAAGAGGAAGGGGGTATATTTTGGTAGCACCGAACACAAAATCATAATGTTTGATCTGTGAAATCGACATCTCCCCTCAGTGCCTCATCTAGGACGATCTCGAGGAGGACATCAGTTAGCTGGTTGGGAATAAGAATACCAATTTTCCCTGAGCATCGGAGTCTTTTGCAGTTTTTTTTTACTACATGTGTCCCTGTAATCTCTTCACCCATGGCCTCCTAGTAGAAGTCTATAAGTTGAAATATATTCATAGGACTTGTGGACACTAGTCAGAAGTCCAAGAGTGGTCTGGTCTCAGGAAGTCCTAATCCTAAGGCAGCTGGGAGAAGGGGCATTGGTTTAGGCAACATCTTTCCTTTCAGATGAGCTGGGGGGAGATAGTAGCCCATTGACCCAGAGCCCTGAAAGCTGAAATCAGTGGCCAAGTGGGGTTTCCTGTGTCTCTAGGGCTCTGTCTGTCTCTAGGATCATAAAAAAAAATCAAGACAGCTTTTTAAAACACAAAATAGAGATGGTGCTTTACAGGAACTCTGACAGCTCCCAGATTGGAAACCACTGCAGACTTCAGACGAAATGCATAGATTCCAAATTCAGACATCTATTTTCTCCCTCCTGTCTTGTGACACATGCACAAATATGGGAAAAGACACTTCCTCTCCATTTTAATCCCCGGGGTAGCTTTTGCTTAGTGAGAGTCAAGATTGCTCCCTCTCCCCACCTCCAATCTCGTTCGTGTAGCTCATTGCATTTCCTGGCTCAGAGACCTAATTAAGAAGTCACAAAGTTATACCTGTTTTTTGTTCCATTGACACCTCAATACTTAGGAAGGCAAAAGTGGAGAGGGAAGACATGACAGACGTGCGCTGAAGCTGTGGTCAGAGATGACAGCACTGTTTCCCCAGGAAGATTTAAGCTGGGCTTTGCTGCAGCTCTGAGGCGGGGAAGTCTTCGGAGGGTAGAATCTCTGAAGTCAAATTCCTCCTCTCCTCCTCGAATAACTGGTATTCCCTTCTCTTGTATTTCCGGGTGCCATAGATAGCCAAGGCAATGACAGCTGCCAGGACGGTGGTGACTCCCACTGTGATCCCAGCTGTTGCCCCTCCCGACAGGCCTTTGCTGTTCCCATGGATGACTTTCATGGCTCTGCGCAGCTCCAGAGGTTCCCCCAGCCGCCATCGGTGGGTCTGGGAGTCTTTAATCCAGGATCTGGCAATTTCTCTGTTTGTCACTAAGACAGTGTTGGTGCTCTGACTTAGGAGGGGTGGCCTGGTGAAAGGTGGGAGCCTGGCGGGGGGCAGGGACCCACCCGTGAAGACCCCAGCCTTGATGCAGTAGGACACTTGGCATCCATCGCTGATGACAGCTAGGTGTTGGCTAAAGCCCTCGGGACACTTTTTCAGGGAGGGTACCCCCTCTGTGGATACAGAAGATTTTAACAAGGGGTTCCCAACTGCACAACTGAAGAACCCACCAAAGGGGACAGAAAACTTGTATCCCATCTCATAGTCCAGAGAAACACAAACGCTGAGGCTTGCAAAGAGGCTCACTGGGATGTAGCCAACTGGGCAGGACTGTGAATTTGTCATCGGGTTCACGCTCTTACTGCTGAAGAGGCCCCCAAAAAGAAGTCCTGAGTTTGCAGGTACTTGGTCCTTGACCATGCACCAAAAAACCCTAAATTGAACCTTTGACACCTGGAATACATCTTCACACACCGTACTGCAGAAGATGACCCAATAGCACTTCTCCTCACACTCCAACTGACTATAGCCCTCCTCATAGACCTGAGTCAGCAGATGGACTGGAGAGTAGCCAGCAGGGCAGGAGAAATTACCAGTGAGTGGATTCTTCTGCTGCAACTTTTGGCAAAGGAGAGCACTCCTGCTCCCTGTGAGTTGAGTGCATTCTTGATAAATCCCACCAAAGGAGAAGTTGGTCATTTTCCCCTCACAGGAGCCATCATCTGTATTGGCATGAAAATTGAAGTTGGGTGAGTTGATATCAGTACACCCGGGGTAGGTGTTGAAGTTGTAATACTGTCTCACAGCAGTTTCCACCGTTTGTGACAGCTTACTCACCAAGGGACCAGGCAATTGAGGCAGCGTGTTCGGCTTGATGAAGAAATGCAGGGGCAGGCCAGCACGATCTATTGCCACCAGGTGGTTGGTGGTACTCTGCTGCCAGGTTTGGAGGGTGATGCCTGGGTAAAAGGGAACCCCTCCAATGCTCTGAACCCTGGAGTTGGTTCGGTTTGCGAGGTAGCTCTTGGTCAAGTCATCCTGGTAGGTGACGTTCACGGATGCTTTGAAGTTCACGGTGTTTAAGAAGGAAACTCCGGCAGACGCAGTCACACCTATATGGTTGCTCTGACTGTCCTGGAGGAAGGAGGACTTGATATGGTCCTCCTGCATGAGAATAGCTCCAGCTTCCAGACTAGTGATGACATGGGTGCCATAGTTGAGGACCAGGAGCTCTGCCAGGTAGGTGGCCATTCTTGTCTGATTGTTCGATAGAAAGTCAGAGATGTCCATGAGGTCCTTCATAAATCCTGAGCTGAGTTTGGAGGCTGGGTCGATTTTGACTGTGTAGATCAGGTTTCTTACCTGAACACGAGTCGTCGCAGCTTGGTCCCTCACTTGAAGGGTCTTCATCCTCTGGAATTCAGTGGAGAACTTGCCATTGACCTTGGAAAAAACAGAGATCTCCATGTTGATGGAAGAAGAGATGCTGCTCTTGTAGTTCATCCAGGATTCCAGGATTTCCGAGTTCAAGTCCAGGTTGCTCTGTTTCTGAGGAATGGTGAAAACTTCATCGGGGATGATGTACTGTCCATCCTCTGTGGTTCTGCAGTCGGTATAGTTCAACTCTATCACCCGTCCCATGTCCACGTTGCGCAGATTATCCCAGCCCCCTCCGGGGAGGACCTCCAGCACAGGGATTTTCAAGGCATTCTTGCATCTTTGAACTCCAGTCTCTTCTTTCTCTCCTAGAGGCGGGTCTGTTTTAGCGCAGGCCACCACAGCCCAGAAGACGAAGGCAGCCCTGAAGCTGCTCATGGTGCTGACAGCCCCGGCCCCACAACAGCTTGAAGCAGCAGCCAGCGAGCACCCTGAAAGATGGAAAAGAAAGCAGTGGCTGAAACAGAAATTTCAACTGTTCTCCTCAAGTCAACGGTTCCTCTTTTAGTTTAACGCCATTGCAAAACGGGGAAATGAAAGTTGGTTGGAATATTGAAGTCTATTAAAACTTTGCAAAACTTATGTTCTGCCAGTACGCAAACAGAGTCCTGTGCTTCAAAGTTCACTGCCCTGTGTTCCCTATCTGCAGCTGGTTACTCTGCAGCAGTAGTGGGCACCCAAAAATCGTGACTCCGTGGCTTACCACTTCCCCACCCAAAGGCTCTGGATTGGGTTGTTTGTTCACTGTCTTGGACTTGATGTTTTAAATTTTGCTTGACTTCTCTCTCCTGGGACTCCAGGGACAGTTTCCTTTTACTGGAAATGCAGAGGATAGTGGACATATCACCCTTACTGAGATACCCCGCCTCCACCCTACCCACTCAGACTATAGGGAAAGCAACTGCGGAATGTTGAAAATTTCATTGGGGAAATTAATTCCACCATTAACCTGATGGTGAAAGTCCACAGATAAACACATTTATCGTTGTAAGTGCTGATAGTCCTGGCTTTGGAGATGGAGTTATCTGAACCAGAGCTTAATGTGCCCACAAGGATTCTGTTTGCTGTCTGCTGGGAAACCTCAGTCTGCATTGTTCTAAGCATTCAGAGTGAGGGTAGGGAACCCCCACACTGTGTTGTTATTTCCTTTCAGTTAGAAATGCTCAAGCAAAGACAAACACATGCTATAATCTAGACTTTTGATGTTTTAAAATTGTGCTTGACTGATTTACCCAAAGATTCTGATTTACAAAACACACAGTGGACAAGGATTATATGTACGTGTGTATATGCATTTACATAATCTTCCATGTGCATGCAGTTTGCAATAAGTTGTACCTCTGGTATCTCTTATGCCTTTTTATCCTATTTCTAAGTGCATATCATTGGCACAGGTGCATAAAAAAGGATGTGCCTCTTTATTTGTTTTAAAGCAACAATTCTTTTTTTATATATCATTAGGAAAACATATGTCATGAATTTCCTTTTGTGTGTTGATGCCAGGTCAGTTAGACCCCATAATATAGAACAATGTCTCTTGACCCATTGCTCTAGTTCCAGGATTAATTGAAGCCCAGCTCAATTAATTCTTTGGGATAATTAGAGTGGGTCTTAGTACCATTAGTGGTAGCCAGGGAATCCAGAGCAGTTAATGAAGCAAGCTCCCAATTGTACCCTCCTGTTTTCAAAATCAGACCATAAACCAGGTGCTGAGGCTTCAAGCAGTCATGTCTCAACCCAGGAGTATCACTGTGCTGTCACCTAAGAAGCAGGTTCCAAGGAATCAAGTTAACTAGGGCTGTCACTGATGCAGCCAAGAAGTGTTTTAGAAAAAGATGAGGCAAGCTGCCTAGCTTCACAGGCTGAATTTCACTAGTGATAGTTTTAAACCCCTGATGGCGATCTGTAAATACAGAAATACCACATTCTGGGGCTATTCAGGCCACAGTTATCATCCTTTGGGGAATTGACTTACACTAGTCACTCAAGAAGGCTTGACTTATGAACCAATGTCTAGTCCATGCTTGGCTAGAGTGCCAAACATCTGCACAGGATATTCTGGCTAAGTTGTAGTCAGTGAGTTATAAGTTTACACCTCAGCAAAGATCCCAGAATTAGAGGAATGACAGTTCAGCTCCCTTGAGTACTTTCAATAACTCAATATCTGCATGCTTCTTTTCAAATGTTTTAGGGATGGTTCCTGAGGATGGGAATATTCTCCTTCTTACACTTGGTTGGAGGTGTGCTCACGATTCTTACTGTTTTCTCTTTGCTAGATCCTGTTGAGACCTCACTCTTCTGCAATGAGAATCCAGGCAAGGTGAATATAGACAACTCTATATTCAGGTGTTACTAAATATTTAAATAGCTAGTCATCGTCTTTTTTTTTTAATTATTATTTTGGTTTTGTGATACTGGCAATTGAGCCCAGGAGCACTCAGCCACTGAGCCACATCCCCAGCCCTTTTTATTTTTTATCTTGAGACAGGGTCTCATTAAGTTGCTTAGGGTCTTGCCAAGTTGTTGAGGCTGATCTCGAACTTGCAATCCTCCTGCCTCAGCCCCCAGAGTTGCTGGGATTATAGGCGGGTACCATCATGCCTGGCTTTAAAAAATTTTTCTTTTGTTTTTTGCTGTAGCCTTCCTCTTCAATTAAAAAAAAAATTGAAGATAGAGAAAAAAAGCCAACAAGAATGAAATTATATACTAAAATATCATAATTATTTTAATAAGTGAGAGATTCTTATGTCACGATGTGGTGATAAAAGGATGATACACATCCAACTTGACCCCAACTATGTAATATATGTGTTATAACATATGTGTGATATGATAGTTATAACTGTAACTAGAGGAATCTGTATACCAATCAATTGACAGTGATTATATCACATTGTTAGGTTTATGAATAATTTGAATTCCCCTCCCTCTTTTCTCTGTTTTACTAAGTTTTCAACAATGAGCATGTCTTACTTATTTAAGAATTTCTTGCTGAGAATCTACCAACTTCCAAGTAGCAATAGTACAAAAAAAAAATCATTTTTGTATTCAGGAAAAAAGTAACCCCTCCCCCGAAAATACCTATATTTTTTAAAAAGAAAAATTATTTCTGGAATTTTCATAAGCCTAAAATGGTCCAAACGGATGGACTCTGCAATTCCTGTGCTCAAAGAAGTTCTCTTTGACTCAGGGCCAACAAGGAAAGGAGAAGTCGAAGGATGGGAAATTTGGGCTCAACCGCATTGGGCCTGCCAGGGGCAGGAAGAGTTTCCTGTACCCGCAGAGTGTGAGGAAGTGGGCTAGGGAGAGCTGGACCCAGTGTCTCACCTGCACCCTTTCCTGTCTTAATCCTTCCACAAAGAAATCATCTTTTTTATTTTCTATTTTTTTTTTTTATTTTTACCGAAACGCATATGCAGTCACATATGCTCACCAGATGGCCACCCGGGAGGAGTAGGGGCTGTGGCAAAACGCTGAACTTTGACCTTTAACAGAAAGAGGCACCTCTTCCACAAAAGGTATATATCTGCAGTGCTGAAAAGCAATTTCACTTCCTCCAACAAGAAGCAAGAGGGAAGTCCCATGTCTGCCTTCTTTCTCAGTTTGAACACGTGCAAACTTCTGAAACCATCTCATGTGGCTCAAAACCGTGATTCACGTCTGAGGTTCAGTTCTGCATGGGCTTGGAAATGGTTCAGGTTCTGCCTACTTCTGCATCTTGCCTGTGCTCTGAAACAGTCGTGTTTGCCGGGACCCTCCCCCTTCTTATTTGCAGCAGGAATCTAGAAGACTCATCAAAAAAACCAATAATTGCTAAATGGATCCGTGGAGCACTAGGACTTCACAGACTCTGAAGTTTTATAAGCTTCATTCTGGAAAAAAATCTCAGAGGTGTGAGTAGCTGAGACTGAGTTCTGGAAATTCAACAAATCAGGTTCAGCCACTGGCCCCAAAAACCAAACAGAAAAGGTAATGGTGAAAAGCACGAATTAGTCCTTAGCCCCATTGAGTTCTGCCCTCTGTGTGGAGGTGCGGGGTGGAAGGGCTTCAGAGGCAGGCAGTCATGTCTAAGAACCCCATCTTCGTAATGTGTCAGTTTTGCAGGACACAGTGGCCCACACCTGAAATCTCAGCAACTAGGGAGGCTGAGGCAGGAGGATCCCAAGTTGGAGGTCACCCTGGGAAATTTAGCAAAATTTTTCTCAAAATAATTTAGAAAGGGCTGGGGGCTCAGCTCAGTGGTACAGCATCCCTGGGTTAAATCCTCAGTACTACAAAAACAAGTTGATCAATTAATTAATTAAAAAAATAACTTTCAGCTTTACTTATTTCTGGTAAGGCTGACACAAGTGCACATCTCAAGTTACATTTAAAAGGACCACTGCCTTTCTCTTTCAATTGTCCTGCATGGCTTCCCTTCGGCTTTTTCTCTACCCTCATAGTTGTACATTTGTCTTTGGTCATACTTCCCTGTTGGGTGTTTGAGACCAAGCAGATGACCTATATTTTGGCCAAAACCTAACCTCTTTCTTTTCTACTGTTAAGGTCAGCTGAGACTCCTCAGGGGTTATTTTTAGGAACTTGTGAGGAGCCTCTGGGCTCCTTCACTTTTTTCCTCTTCTAGTTATGCCACCTGCCAGAATGGGTCAGGGGCTTGCTGACCACATGTGGATTCCTTTGTAAACGCTGCAGACATTTCCTTCTCCAATGACCCTCTTCTTTGCACCATGCACAGGTTAGCTTCCTGTTTTCTAGGGTCCTCACAATCCTGGGATCAGAAGGTTGGAGGACCAGAGTTGCAGGACCCTTAGAGGGCTCCTATTATTCCTTGGGACCTGGCTGACTTTGAAGGACAAGAACCAAAATATTAATTATATTTTTCTTAGCCATTTTATTTTCAGATTTTGGTCACTGTGTCTGTTGTTGAACACCCCCAGAAGAGTTCCACCAGCCTTAAAAGGGGAATAGTGGGTCTTAATTTTAACTTTTGCAATTTTACAGTTTTTCCTCTTCTATTTAATTGGGGTCAGTATCAATACAGAGAGCCAGTTATATCCTATCTCTCCTATAGGTGATGTCCTAGTATTCCAAATTGACTCAGGTTATTCTATTAGAAGTACTTCTACAAAATACTAACAGGCAACTGTTATAAAAAAAAAAATTTTTGTTTTGAACTGGGGATTGAACCTAGGGGTGCTTCATTACTGAGAACATCCCCAGTCCTTTTTATTTTTTATTTTTGAGACAGGGTTTCACTAAATTGCTAAGGGCCTTGCCAAGTTGCTGAGGCTGGCCTCGAGCTTGCAACCCTCCTGCCTCAGTCTCCTGAGTCAACAGTTATAAAGTTTTAGAGGGAAAACACAAAATTAACGAGGCAAAACCACATTTCTTTGTATAATAGTTCTGAACCAAGAAGCATAATTTATAATATTAATATACCTTTGACATCTGATTAGCATCCATAAAACCTATAATTTGTCAAGTCGATCACATATAAACCTAAATCAAATAGAAAGACTATAAGATAAGAGCACTTAATTTCCTTTTTTAGACACCTATCAAACATTTGCAAGCAAAAGTGAAGTCTAAGTCCTTGTTACAAATATGTATTTTTATATATGTAATATATTATATGTTATATTTACATGTTTACAAATACGTCTATATAATATATACACATATCTATCTGTGTAGCTAGAGAAAGAGATCTTATAGAATCAAGAAACCAAGAATACATGAACTTATATATAAAATTAATGGTTATTATTTAACTTACAAATGACTCATATGTTTATAAATGTTTATTCCATTTACATCTACCTTAACTGCCCATTTTAACGGCTATGTTTAGATTACCCATGAGTTGGGCATGGTGATGTACACCTGTAATCCCAGCAACTCAGGAGGCTGATGGATGCAGGAGGATTTCAAGTTTGAGGTCAGTCTGAGCAACTGTCTTAAAAACAAAAACATAAACAAACAGACAGACAGAGCTGGGGATGCAGCTCAGTGGCAGAGAGCTTCTTGGTTCAACCTCCAGTACCACCACCCTACCACCACAGCCAAAGCATTTATCCTAATACTGGCCACCACCACCCCCACCACCCCCGCCAAGATAAAATAAAGCAAAAACAGGTTGGGGATGTAGATCAGTGGTGGAGTGCATGCCTGGCATGCTCATGGCCCTGGGTTTGATCTCCAGCACCACAAGATAAAGAAAAGAAGAAAACTTGCACATGAAAACCAATATCAGACAAGTATAGTTAACATTTTAAGCTATTCTTATTGTTGTTCTAACAGTGTCCACATTATGCTTTGAATATAGCCCTTGCTGCTTTGGCACTGAAAATTATTTTTAAATGGGTATGTTTCTTTCTCTACCTCTCTCCCCTGCCCTAATCTCGGAGGAAACAGGATTACCTTTTTTCTCTATTTTAGGTAGATTTATCTGTCCTGGAGTACACAACCACCATAGGAAATAAGTAATCTAGACTTTGGGGATGGTAGCAGAAGTTCTCATAAATGACTATCTCCCAAATGAACAAGTGAATTACAACTCCAACAGAGAACCTGTGGAATGGAACTTTGAATCACCTCTTTAGAAGGCCCCAGTTCCCGGAATATCTCCTGTGCTAGCAAAGCAATAAACCTTCTTTTTTCTTTTTTCCAAAACCGTGTCCTTGTAGTTATTTCAGCTTCTGGGACAAGAACCCAGCTTTTGGCAACATTGTTGTTGTTACTATTATTATTTTGCCAAAGAAAAAGTCTAAAAGCAAAGGAAGTTGCACCTTAAGCATCTTAACAGAGAAAAATACAGTTCTGATTGGCAGATAACCTGGGCAAAAGAACAACAACAAAATAGTGTGTTTTTATAATTCTAAAGATATCTTTATTTTATCTTACTAACAAATTTATATTAACTTTATTTTTTTTAAAGATTTACCTAAGTAATGTAAACTAAAAGGCATTTGGGGTTATGTCTTTAAATTTGTAAGTGCTTGTTTCTTGATAAGCCAATTTCATACAATGTAGAAAAAACACACAATACACACATGTACACAAACATAAGAAAAAGTAGAAAACAAAGGTTTTATAGCTTTTGTTTAGATTTATCATTGACAGTTTTTAAAAAGTTTGGCTGCTGATATTACTATAGCTCTAAGCAATCCTTAATCTTAAATCTGCATTTCCAAAGGTGTGACTTAGTGAAAACAAGGTAGAAAATTTACATCTCAAAGACACAGAAATTAATACGAACACCATTCAGTAGGGCATAGATCAAGCCCTCAAGAAAGAAAAAGTTTTAAGAGTGAGGCTCAAGCAGACCTAAGTTAATATCTTTTCCTATTTTAAGAGTTAATCAAGCCCAGTGGGGAGGCGAATGTCCGTAATCCCAGCAACTGCTAAGGCAGGAGTTTCCCAAATCAAATTCAAGACCAGCCTCAACAGATTAGGGAGGCCCTGAGCAATTAAGTGAGACTGGGCCTCAAACTTAAAAAAGAAAATAAAAAGGACTGGGGACTCAGCTCAGTGGTAAAGAATTCCTAGATCAATCCCCAGTACAAAAAGAACAAGAAAAAAATTCATCAAGACAGGGAGAAACCCTTACAAAGGGAAATTTCTTTTGTATAGCATGAGAGAAATCATATTTTGGAGAACTATCTGGTTGATCAGTGTGCAAGAAAACCAATTTTGGAATATTAAATGTCCATCATTTTTTTTAAACATTAGGCCCCTTGGTCATTGAATGTAAAATTGGCTGGAGTGCCAGACAGGATTTGTCTCCAAATGCTTCCCTCCATCCTTGAGTTGATTTCCCATTTTGGAGGAAATGTCACTTCTCCCAAAATTTCAGCCTTCTGAGCTAACAGGTGGATCTGTGTTTTGGATTCAAAGGGGCAAAGGTTGCAATGACCCGGAGGAAAAAAAAAAGGCAAAAAGGTAAATTTATGTAAAGGAGAGATATAGGAGAAAAAGACCAAATAAATGCTAATAAGCAACGTTCTGATAAGGGTTCTAAAATAGAGGATATGCAAACCAACCAGCCTAGAACAAAGAACCATTTATCAAGTAAAATAACTTTCCAGCAGGGATGGTGGCAGCCAGCCATCAGATTCTTTTGGCCTTTATCATCAGTCATCAGAAGCAGAGTAACAACCTGACTTACCGACAACAGAACTCATAAAACAACTGATTAAACCAGAGTGCACTTCCAGGCACCCAGGACATGCTGCACTACAACAGTAAGTCACCTTTTAGGTTTATAGCTATAATTAAATCAGAAAGCCAAAATTCTCTCTAGGGGACAACTTCACAGAATTAGTGTTTTCCATTCTTATGCAAGTGACCAGAGATCTCCTCAAACCAACCTTGTTTCTTGTTTCTCAGAGAAGTTTAAGTTCCTTTCTTGCTATAGAATCCACGGATCAGAATTCAAACTTCCCTGTTAATCAAATGGCACAAGTCCAAATCAGTTGAAAAGAAGCCACATTGGCACAAATGAGCCCCAAAGACAAGGAAAAAAGGGGGGAGGTTCAATGTGCCGTGTTCAGGAGAACTTACCAGGGGTCAGATGTCCAGAGCTCAGAGAGTTCAAAAGTTTGTTTCTCCGCATCAACAGATGACGGTAAAAAGCAGCCAGTTCTATCGCAAAGTGGAAAGAAAGGGAGAGATCCTGAAATAAATATAATTTCAGCAGCTGCTTGGGTCCCTCCTTCTCTGTCCTTTAGGGTTGAGGTCAGCTAATTACAAGTAGATAATGCCAAAGGGCATGCTTCCTCCTGGTGGGGCTGTTACCAGAGTCCTAGGCCAGAGGTCTGACCCTGGGCATCCAACAGATCAGGTCCAGCCACTTGTCCCCAGAACCAAACACAAAGGTAAGTGAAAAAGCATGAAAGGCATATTAATCAGTGCAGCTACACCCAGAAGATAAGGGGACCCATGTCCTTAGCCCTGCCTTCAAGGGACTGACAATGATTTTGAGGACTTATAGAAAGGGGAAGGAGGGTCAGAAATGGGGGTTTACCTAGCTGGAGACGTCACACGGCTGCCAAAGCAAGCGATCTTGGTCAATTGTGGTCCATCCATTATCATCTCAGGATGGGTCAGGTGATGCCTTGTAGGCAAAAGAAAGTACTCTAGCCTGAGGGGTATCTTCCACTAGTCACAAGACTTTGGTTGATCTGACCTCTCCTTTCTGGAATCCAAGGTGACCAGGAGCAAAGGAGACTCCATGCAAACTGGAGGCAGAGAGGCCTGGTCCTTAATGCTCCTCTAATCACTCATGGGACATTTGCAGGCAAAAGTGAAGAGACTTTTGAAGAGTCTTTGTTACAGTAGCAATGAACAAAGTGACAATATATACTTTTCTGGACAGTTGTTTTTCCCCCCTTGGTTCTTTTTAGTTTTACGTGACAATGGGATTTATTTTGACATAATCATAAGAGCATAGAATGTAATGTGTTCCAATCAGCGTCCAAGTGTAACAGTGTCCATTTTATGCTTTGAATACAGCAATTGCTGCTCTGCCACTGAAAATTATTTTTAAAGTGAACATGTTTCTTTCTCTTTCTCTTTCCCTGTTCCTCCCTTTTCTCCCTCTCTCTCTCCCCCTTTCTCCCTCTCCCCCTTATCTCAGGGGAAATAGGATTACCTTTCTTCCTCATCCTAAACAGAGTTATCTGTTCACACCCACCACAGGAACAATGCAAACCAGACTTTGGGGATGGCACCAGAAGATCTCAGAAATGATTTATCTCCCAAATTAACAAGTGAACTCCAACTCCAACAGAGAACACATGGGAAGTAGCCTTTGAATCACCTCTTTGGAAGGCCGCCAGTTCCTGCTGATGGGCAGAATCACAGCCTCTGGGACAGGAGTCCCCTGTATTTCTCCTTTGCTAGCAAAGCAATAAATCTTCTTTTCCCTTTTTCTCAAAATCACATCCTTGTTATTGAACTGGCATGGGGGACACGGACCCAGCCTTTGTAACACCAGTATTTCCCCTTCTCCTCCCCGGCCCCTGCTTTCCTTCCCTTTACTCTGCTGATCTCTTGGCTACTTACTTATAGTTTGTTTTTGTTTTTGTTTTAATTTGTGTCTTGTGATGAGCAGGACAGTGAGATTCACTGTGGTCTATTGATACATGTACATAGGAAAGTTAGGTCAGATCCATTCCACTGTCTTTTCCCTTCCCGTCCCTCCTCCCTCCCCTTCATTCCCCTTTGTCTACTCCACTGATCTTCTATTCCTCTGTTTTGTTTTGTTTTTTTTACCCTCCTCCCCAAATTAATTTTTAACCCGATGATGCACACTTATAATCCCAGCAGCTCGGGAGGCTGAGGCAGGAGGATTTTGAGTTCAAGCCAACCTCAGCAACTTAGTGGGATCATGTTTCAAAATAAAGCATAAAGTTGCCCTAAGCAACTTAACGAGATTCTGTCTTAAAATAAAATATAGGGGCTGGGGTTGTGGCTCAGTGGTAGAACACCACTCGCCTAGCATGTGTGAGGCACTGGAGTCTATTCTCAGCACCACATATAAAAATAAATTAATTAATTGGGCTGGGGATATAGCTCAGTTGGTAGAGTGCTTGCCTCGCATGCACAAGGCCCTGGGTTCGATCCCCAGCACCACAATAAATAAATAAATAAATAAATAAAAATGTAGAAAAGGCTGGGGATGGTGCTCAGTGGTCTAACATCCCTGGGTTCAATCCCTGCTACCAGGAAACAAATTAAAACAAAACCAACCTGATAACTTGATATTTTGAGAGCTGTTTGTCAGCTCCTTCTTCGATGCTGATCTTCCCATCAGGATTGTCAGTCTACTAATCACAAAAACAACAGCAAGGTTTCATGGTTCCTTCTACTATGAAGGGGAAAAACCAAAGGCCCGTGGGAAATTTTGTATATTCCCATTAAAAGCTAGGCCATGGTTTGGTAGCCTAAACCATGTTATTCTCTTGTTTCTTAGGGCTTTCTACCTTCCTCTTTATTTTGTGTGTGTGTGACGCCGGGTATTGAACCCAGGGCCTTGGGCATGATGGGCCAGTTCTCCACTATGGACTTACACCTCATCCCTGAACCAACCTAGATGCCCTTCCATAGACGAATGGATAAAGAAACTGTGGTACACGTACACAATGGAATGTTACTCAGCATTAAAAAAGAATAAAATCATGGCATTTGCAGGTAAATGGATGGAGTTGGAGAATATCATGCTAAGTAAGTCAATCCCAAAAAAACCAAGGGGCTGAATATTTTCTTCCTTTCTTTCTTCCTCTCCCTACTTTCTCTTTTTTTTTTTTTTTTTAAATATTGCTATTGACTACTCCCTTCTGTTCTTTTTCCTCCTTGCCACTTGAAAATTTGGGTTTGGAACACAGTGTAATTGAAAGCGATACTTCCATTGTGCAAAAAAACTAAAGAAGAAAGAGCCCACCCCCATTACACAGACTTTGTTTGACTTCCCTCCTCCCACTGTTTTTGTTTGTTTGTTTGTTTGTTTGTTGTTCTGGTACCGGGGATTGAATTAAAGGAGTGCTTTACTGCAGAGCTACATCCCCAGCCCTTTTTATATTTTTATTTTGAGACACCACGCCTGGCTTGGTTGCCATTTCTACCACCAGATCGTCGATGGGCTTTTAACTGAAACAAAGTGAATGTTACTATCATTTTTTTTTTTCTTCCTAAAACCACCCTGAACACATTAAATAAAGGCAAGTGAGTTCATTGAGGTGGTTCCTCCATCACAAGATTATTTGGAGTTGGGTGCTTCAGGCCCTCTACCGAAATATTCCTCTTGTCTCTTTTAATTTTTGGTAATCTAAATATGAGATTAAAAGCCTGGACTGCACCAAGTATGGTGGCACACATCTGCAATGCCATCTACTCCAGAGGCTGATATAGGAGGATCCCAAGTTCAAGGCCAGCCTCAACAATTTAGCAAGTCCCTGTCTCAAAAAAAAAAGGCTGGGGCTACAGCTCAGTGGTAAAGTACTCCTGGGTCTAATCTCCCAGTACTGAGGGGGAAAAAAAATTCTGAACTGGGTTGTGGAAATATCCAGTCCCCAGATTTTGTTCTGCTTCCCATTGTCACTCAAATATCTTGCTAGCCTGACACACAGAGATGTGAAAAGTGAGGTTCCAGAATACAGGCAGCATCCTGACTCCTACTGTGATGTCGGGCAAGTTCTGGAGTCTCCCTAAATTTTCACCTCCTCCCACTGTGGACCAAACAACAGCATAGACTTGTATTAGTAGATAAAGTTGCGAAGAGGATTGACTGCAGCCTTTCATGAAAATGTCTACACAGAGCCGCAGGAACACAATACAGTTCACCTTCCAGCTTTGCTGAGCTTACTGTTGCCGTCTCCAGACTGATTCTGTAGTTCAATCCTTCTAAAATAGGAATGGGGGAAAGAGCATGTCACAGCATCTCAGGAACTTCACGTTCCTCTGGTCCATGAGGGCAGAGTGGAAAGCCACGTGAAGTCAGAAGGGATGCCTGAATATTTTCTCCTAATAACCTCAGCAAAGGCATGTATCACTTTAAGAAAAACAACCTGGTCTCTATGGGTTCATGACACAGGTAAATTAGAAACGATTAATGACACCTTCACATCCTTTAAAATAAGTGGACAATTTTTTTTTTTTTTTTTTGGGTATAAATGATCAGCTAAGTGAATATTTCAGGCTTTGCACCCAAATGATTTCTGTGTTTCCTTAGCCGTGGTGTTAGGTTAAAATTGAAGAAATTAGGTTACAATTTTGCATCTTGTGATGCAAAAGCAGATGACCTGTAAATTAGAATGCATCATTGCGTTCCAATAAATAGTTATTTGCACAAATGGATGGGCTGGATTTGGCTTCAGATCTATAGTTTACTGACCCCCAATTTAAAATGATAGCATCATAGACTCCCTCGATGAGAAAGGAGCTGCCCCCAGCCAGTGCTTGAGTCTTCGCTAATACAGCCTCATGAAGCGGTTATTCCACTTTTGCTTAGATTCCTCCTGGACATGGTGGCTTTCTACTTCCTGATGTGGACAGATCAATTCTTAAATTCTTATTTTAACTGATCTCGGATTGTCTGTCTGATCCTCTGGTGGTTGGTAGTGCTTTTCTTTATTGAGGTGACCTTGAGAGTGACACTGTCAGTGATCCAAGCAAGAGAAGTGATTGGTTCTGATGTCCACAGAGAAAGTCGGGTGAGGACATGACTACGTTGACCTTGTTCACTAACAGCAATGTATGAAGAACACAGTCCAAGGGTCCCAGGAGTCCTCTGCTCTGCTAAATATTTCTTTATTACAGATCATGGGGAATTCAGTTGTTTCCAGGTCAGGGATCAAGACGGATAGAGCAATTGGTGATTTTGGAGAAGCACCTGTTAACCTACAAGGAAAAACTTTTTAATATTTCCACACATCTTCCCATGGGAATTGTGAAAAGTTTCTATAAGACTGAGAAGAATCCCATCCTGTATGATAACTTCAAGGCACGAGGTTCCCAGGAGAGTTACGAGGTCTTCTTCAATTTTAACCTAACATGACCTGGGCATGGTGGTGCCCACCCCAAATCCCAGTGACATGGGAGGCTGGGGCAGGAGGATTGCAAGTTCAAGACCAACCACAGCAACTTAGGGAGGCCCTAGCA